GCGACGGTGATCACTTACCATCAGAAGAGCCGTCTGCTCGTATGCCCCCTATTACATAAAAAAAACATCAGGTGGAGTCATTTGTCGGACCTTCTTATATTAAAAAAGTGTACAAATCTCAATTTGGTAGAGTGAATTTTTGTACACTGACTGAGACATACACTTAACTTTATGGCATATATCGCTTCGGGGATTGGTAAAACATCAAAATCAAAGTTGCAGCTTGACAGTAAAAAACACAGAACGCAGAAAGAAGGTTAGAAGGGTTACGACATACACCGTTTGTACAGGAACCGATGTCGCCGGCTCGCCCCCACACACTTCCATCTAATAGATAATAGCCAATCAATCGACGCGACATCCACCAATCGAAGCAATCAGAGCTCACACCTGAGAGCAACGACGCAATCTGAACGAAGTTTTGGTGAAGTTATGAGCAACGCCCAAATAACTGTGGCGCGCCTGCCCCGCCCACAATGCCCTTCTTAAGTCTTTCTCTGTTCTATGGTTAATAGTGTATAAACATCAATCTAATAGCGATATCTTAACACCGCCACGTTTGGCATTGGTTGGGTCTAAGTTATAGTATCCGTGATAAAAGAACCCTCAAAGTTATGGGCAACGCCCAAATAACTGTGGCGCGCCTACCCCGCCCTCAATGCCCTTCTAAACTCTTTCTGTGTTCTGTGGTTAATAGCGTATAAACATCACTCTAATAGCAACATCTTAACACCGCCACGTTTGGCATTGGTTGGGTCTAAGTTATAGTATCCGTGATAATAGAACCCTCAAAGTTATGAGCAACGCCCAATTAACTGTGGCGCGCCTGCCCTTGTAAACTCTTTCTGTGATCTGTGGTTAATAGTGTATAAACATCACTCTAATAGCTACCTCTTAACCTGCCACGTTTAGCATTGGTTGGGTCTAAGTTATAATATCCGTGATAATAGAACCCTCAAAGTGACATATTTGAAAATTTTACCTGTAAAGGACCCGTACTGACAACAAAAATAGATATTACGGATAAAAATCCGTTAAAAATTATTTCATATAATGGAATGAGCTCCTCGCCACGGTTTTCCCTAAGTTCATAGACCTCTTCAAACGAGGCCAAAAAGCTTGTTGCACAAAGGGCAGCGGCATGGCTGTGACACTGGCATGGCTGGTGTCCATAGGCGACGGTGACCACTTAACATCAGTATCCTTAGCATGAACCAATATCGAATTCGTAACGTTTGCGAGTCCGAAATGTCATTGTCAGATGTTTATTGATTTTTAGTTCTTGTTACGTACTTTGTGCCGCTGCTGTTCAAGTTTCCATACAAAATTTGACGTTGACATTTCGCACTCGCACACTATTCGAATTCGATAAGGGTTCATGCTAGGGGAACACGAAACACCTCTAGCACGAGCCATTATCGAATTCGTAACGTTTGCGAGTCCGAAATGTCATTGTCAAATGTGAACTGATTTTTAGATCTCGTTACGTACTTTGTGGCGCTGCTGTTCAAGTTTCCATACAAAATTTGATATTGACATTTCGCACACGCAAACTATTCGAATTGGATAAGGGTTCGTGCTAGGGGTACGGATGGCCCGTCTGCTCGTATGCCTTCGAAGGCAATGAAACAAAATAAAAATAAATAAATAAGGGATAAGTAAAAAGACGACAGTTTTAAATCACTATTTTATTGAATTATTACTGCCTGTTGATTTTTTTTCTTAACATCTGACAATTTTCAATTTTAATGCATTTTATTTTATTTACAAAATCATTTATTGACACATTTCTAAGGCGACACCGATGGTAATCAACACATATGTAAGTCTAGTTATAGAAAATTTAACATCATTCATTTGTAAACAAAATGAGTATTTTCTTTATAAGTAGGTAGGTACTACAACATTATTATCATACATTAAGATTATTTTAAGGTACACTTCTTTGGTTTGATCAGGTTTATTACATAATTAAAGCAGACTAAATCAAACCCAAAAAGTTTTAAACATTTTCTAATCGGAAAGCCGCACTCACAGAGACCTCAATAACATTTATGCTTGTTAAAGTGACATGTCGTCTTGTATCGCTATCACAAAGAAAGTGACATCATGAATTTAAAATTCAGAAGCTGAAAATTGATTGGTTATTCTGCGTCTGTTAAAGTCGAATTTTAAAATAGCAGTGACACAGAAATTTTGTGGTAAGCCTGGACTGATTCCAGATATCGTTTTTGCTGTAAATTAGTCTTATGAGCCATCCGCTGGAAACGGCGTCAAAAGGCTGTTAACAAGTGATTCACGAAGTGGTCCAGATGGACCCTGGGGTCTCAGCTGTGACGCAAATTTCCATCGTTCAGTCAAATTTTCACATTTTTCGGCGTATTTCGGGAATATGGCAAAGATATAGCAACAGGTTACTACGCCGCTTGGAGTTTCAACAATCTTACGGTAACTGCTAGATAACAACATCATAGAGGTAGATTAATGTTGTCAGATTTTAGTTAGCACTCTTAAAACTGGAATCAATGGATTTATTAGCTTCCTTAAGAATAGAGAAGTTGGAGATTAGGTATTTTATGTTACCCGTCCTAATATTTTGATCGGCATTTAAAAAACGATTTAGTTTAGGCTTTGATTAAGAAACAAAACGGATCTTTTATCATCTTATAGTAGACAATGTTATATTTCTATTATAAATGACCGTCTTAACACGCAAAGGGAGAATAACCATCAAGGGACTTTAGAAATTAACCACAATAGTTTACTATTTTTTACTATTTCATGATTTTATTTTCATATAAATAACTAACTACGGTTTTCACTCTTGTCTTTCATTTGTGTTACCTTACTAAATAGTAAAACATGACGTCATGTATGCTTATTATATTTTATACATCTTTGGTTGTCTACTGAATAACATAGTTTTACTTGGAATTGGTACAGTGGATGAAGTCGATCGCTTGCTATTTGTAGGAGATAATTTTTTTGGGATACAATCTTAATAAAGGTTTTTTGCGGGATTGTTACTTCAGATACTCCGTAATCGTGGCGCTTGCAACAGTGCCGAAATATCGAAATCTCGCTAAAAACAAAGTACATGAGAACGACCCCGTTTAATGCGATTCAACTAAGATTAAGACCGACTGGGCGCCATATTTTGACGTCATAGCTGTCAATTCAAACCTAATAGGTAGAGTGAGCAATAAAAGTTTCTATTTATTAAAACTTATTTACTAAGATTAAGTGAGAAAAAACATCAGATTTTTTAATAAAATTAATTTACTAAGATTGAGAAAAAAACAACCGATTTTTAATAATATTTCTTTATTAAGACTGTTTGAGAAAAAACATTAATCAGAATCTAGCTTTTCAAATCCGCTCATCTCTGCATTATCGCCGGAGTAGTTATGAATAATCATGCAAGTCACATACGAACATGCATCCTTTAAGTAAACGAAAGTTTCAAATCGAGTTTCTGAACGCAACATAAAGTGACATTTGGTTGACGATTTAGGTTATCAACCATCCATAGCCAAAGCTCAATAGATGAAAAAAATTATCGACCAATATTAATTATCAATATTTGTTATTGTTTGTTTAAAAATGTTTGGTTTTTAATCTAGAATTAGCTAAGTGCTTAAAAAGTGTTCCGAGACTTTTTGCAAACCTTACTTTTCATGCAACATTTGACAGATAGAGGTCATTGGCTTTCCTATTCTTATTTGAATCGCATTATAAATAACCTATTTCTATAATGTCAAAGATCATGAAAGTTTAAAACAATGTACAATCTCAATAGTCTAAAAAGACTGCACTATTAGAGACCGCGGGCTATGATGACCTAAAAATAGCTAACAACCAACTCTTTCGACTGCACCTATACTTTATTTATCAATACATTTATCGAGGCAGTTGATATGTTGTTCTATTGAAGAAAAAAATAATTATTCGCGAAGATTTATTATCATTGTATTTCAAAAATTTCTTACAATTTGTAAATCTAAGTCATAGAAAAGAAGCAGGCACCAGACATAGCGCTTTAGTAAGTATCACAAGAAAATACTATATTATGACTATAGTGCGAATTAGTTTTCCAATAGATTCATAACACCTACCTTTGGGAATTTCATTTGTTCGGATTGTGGTGTACCTACACATGTTACATTTTCACCTTACATTTTTAACATACAAGAAATGGATTTAGGCCCGTAACAATACAAAACTAATACAAAACTAACGTATAATTGACTATTTGTTTGTTTAACGCTAGAAATCTTTAGCTGGGCTCGAGGCTGAAAGCTTTTAAGCGTTATTTGTTACCGTAATGTGACTTTGGTATGCAAGATAGAACTTCATTGATTTATTCAATGCAAAAACTTTTTTTTAATATACATATATTATGTTTCATATAATAAGTGATTTGTAAATTAGTTATAATAAATAATGACGCATTCTTATTAACTTTAGTAATACTGTTGTTGCATACACAAAGTCACAGTACATTATTCAATCTATCTATATATTTAATAAACACAGCTATTTTACTTCAGTAAAAAAAATGACATCTCAACACTATCATTCAAGTAACGATAAGACTTACATTATAAATAACATACGCTTAACCAGATATATAAAGAGACTTTTGAATTATTTAAAATCTAACATTTAAATATATATATACACATTCTAACAATTTATTGTCAGTTCTGAACTTCGAGATTAAATAAAAATCTTCATAAATATTACCATAAGTTCTACATTTATTTACAAATTCTCATGATCTGCTTTTAAAGCCGACGTTTTCATCATTACATTTAAATACATTTATTCTACACGGTAAAATATACTTTAATTTACTATACATCGAAAGCAATGCGTTAAAGTCATTAACGATCTGTATTGTCTTATGCGTAACAATGTCGAACCGATATCATGCCGTGCGTTTCACAGGACATTCTTTGCCTGAGAATTTACGCACGGCGATGACCGACATACATGGACTAGGTGATGTGAAAATCGCCTCGTAAGAGTCTCGTGAAAGTCTTCTTGAATTGTTGGTTAGCTAACGCATAGCAAAACGGATTTATTGGGCTATTGGCATAACACAAAAAGTAGGAAAACATATACAAATGTTTGTTGATACAAGGTGGATCAGTACAAAATCCTTCGACCAATGCTAGAATGTGGTAAGGTGTCCAACAGACAACGAACGCACCTAATATAAAAGATATTGTTCTAAACGCTTTCCTAGCTCTATTTTCTGACTTCGACTTCTGACGGCCGATACTTTGGAATAAGCCGTCCCGTTTCGAACGTTTAACTTTTAATTTTTTCCCTATGTTTTTAACAAACTCTTTCTTGGAATCGCCGCGCCCTGATCCAGTTACTGCGGTGCTCGAAACATCGCTGTTCTCAACAGCAGGACTTATCGGATTAAGTTTTAAGGGTGTTACTTTATTTTCAGTTGGCTTTGGTGTCTGAGACTCATTATTATGCAAAGACGAGGATACTAAAGTAATTACAGGTTTGGATTTCTCTCCTGTTGATAAACTTACTTCAGTATTAACCTTAATTGGAGGAGGAGGGGAGAATGCGGGTTTTGGTTGCGTTATTTGAGCTTCGGCTGTAGCTCTTATTAAAGCAGCTTGCAACAATGAGGTATTTGTGATTGCAGCAGCATTTGTAGTCGGCGGTGATGATGGTTCGGTAGCTGTCGGGAACGTAACAGAAGACGGTGGACTTTCAAAAGTTGGAGAAGGAACAATCACAGAACTTTCATCCATGTACCTCAGGTCAGCTTCATCCATACCTACTAGGATATCATACGAAGTACCGTCGCTTTTTATTATACGAACAGTTTTAGTCCGAGATGATTCGGAATAAGATGGAGGACTTTCAGACACAACAGGACTGCATCTAAACTCAGATGGCGGAGGTATGATTCTTTGAGCAATAGTAGTCGATACTTCTCTTTGTTCAGATGGTGTGGCTACACCTGACGAAATAGGTGACATAAAGCTACCAGGAGATAGAGGCACTGTTGGCGCTGGCGTGTGCCCATCGCATTGTGAGCTTTCTTGATTATCAGTATCCAACAAACTTTTTTCAGAAATTTGTGACAAGGAGGTTTTAGCTTTTTCTGGATCATGTTTTAACATTGGAGATTGTTTTGTATCTGCTTTTATCAACATACCACCATTCATGCGCATATTATTCAATAATTGTAGAGCACCAGTTTGCATCACTAAATTTGCCACTGAAGGGCGTTTCTTGGAGTTTGTCTGTGTTGTGCTTTCTTCGTCTGAATCAAACGCCGGACTACTAGATCTTTCTGCTTCTACTTGATCTTCTTTCTTGTCTCCGTCTGATTCTTGAGTGGTTGAAGTACCAGTTGCAGTAGCACTACTCTTATGTGCTGAAGACTTTTGGCTAGAATTTGAATCTGTCGATCCGCCCAAATTTAAAAGAGGTGCTGCCAAAGAACCCTTGGATGTGGAATCTTTTCGAATAGTTTCGGTAACTTTTATTTGATCTTCACTAGAGATTGTCACTTTAGACAAACCAGAGGTTCCCGCAGCGCGTCCTGCCATTCCGGTCATGAATCCTGCACTTAAAGCTACCATAGACTGCATTTTCCTTTGCTTTGCTTCACTTTTCTTCTGCATATCGTAGGCAGTCTTGAAAATGCCTGCGTACAATACAATAAGAACGAACAGAGTCGTCCAATAATAGCCAATTATCAGTGCTGTGTTGAATATTGGATCTTTCAGAAATTGCACAGCACACTCGCCTTCTTGTAAATCTCTAAACCCTACAAAGTGTTCCCATCCAAAAATAGTTGTAAAAAATAGTAAGGCGGGTATTATCCACGTGACAGTCACCATCCATATGACTCGGTTCTTCGTTCGCCACGCTCGATATCTGGCTGCTATTTTGACACTGCAAAATCTGTCTACTGTTATAAGTAGAACTGTGTATTGAGATACCAGACAGACAGTGTAGTCGACTGATAACCACAGATCGCAGAGCAAAGGTCCGAGATGCCAATAACCTTTTAAAACATAGTCGGTATAAAAAGGAATAGATAATGTACCTGTGGACAAAGAAATACATAGTTATATTTTTTAATTGGAAAATTTACTTTGGTTGCCTTTGTACTACTTGTTAATTTTAAAATCAGAAGTGAACTAATGAGCCCCTTTTTGGAAATAATTAATTATTTATTCACATTGAAATGTATTCACATTGAACAATGTTCAATAATCCAGTTGTTTTGGAGTCATGAGGCATCCGATGTTTATACCGAATTTCTGATTGAGTTTGTCTGACATGACCGGAATTTAGAATACGTTAATTTATAATTTGGGCTTCGACAAGCTAGCTGTGATTCAATTTAGCAGGGTTGGTAAGTTTTACTATTTCAGTTTAGTCTAAACCAACAAGCAGAATCAACATTTAATTTTATCAGTTCTACATTTTTTATGGCAAAGTAGGCAAATACCTCTATACCACCTGATATTAAGCGATGGCAAAGTGCAGAATGGTGCAGCATTTATAAACATATTTTATTTATGATTAATGAAAATTTACTAACGTTTTCAAATACAAAGTAGCAAGTAGCAACAAAGATACTTAGAATTTTTCCAAATGGATACTTTTTAAGAGTTTTCTGTTGTTCAGCGATACAGATAGTTTTTAATGATAAACACATTAACCAAGAAATTTAATAACTTCGTAAAATAAAAAATAAAATTTAGTCACGTTTGAGAGATTTGATGATTCTTACTATAGTTGACGAGTTGATTTGATATCAGATAATAATGGTCCCACTGTCACAGAAGTCAATAAACTTTCAAACGATCCCTGTTCATAGAGTTATGAGTGTTTTTACCCTTGTCTCATACCCGTTATTTAAATTACTATAAATCCATTGTTATGGTCCCAACGTGAGTAGCTGGAGCACTTGTTATGGAAATCAGTAGTTAATTAACAAAGGAATTATAAACACGCAAACCACTAAAATATGTAAAAGTTAGATTAACAGACTGGCCCGATCAATCAACCAAGGGTTATAAGCTGATTTAGAATCCATTGTGCTGCATCTCTTGTAAAATAGCGTAAAAAGTAGTTGCAGGAAATTAATCTATGTATTTATTTATAGCTATTAACGGGATTGTTACCATGTACCTTGTTTTTTATGTGTAACATATTTCCTCTCGCTTTTGTGCAATTTGTGGGAGTGATTACGTGAAGTGGGACGGAAATGTGTAACAGGAAGTTTGGAAAGCGCGCGCCGGTTGATTTGATTTTAGAATATAATGTTCAAATGGCTTATTCCTTTTGTAGTAGATTTTATTTCTATTTTTACTAACTTAGGATGAGGTTTCAAATGTTACACACATCATACGCGACTACTGTAAGGCTCGCTCGTTTTTTTATTAGTCTCCGATATTTCGGCACTGTTGCAAGCGCCATGATCACGGAGTAACTGAAGTAATTGCGGGCAGATGTTATTGGCAGACATATCGGTCTACCCTCTGACGTCGTCTTTTACTGCGCTCGATACTCCTACCATTGGTCACATTCTCACTATTCACTCGCACCTGTTCCCGGCACACAATACTTACAGTATCAGATCGCGGAACGACACTTTTTTGATTTTTGCGGTTTTTGCACTTATGAACCACTGGATTCCAGACACTTGATAATTAAAACCCATCCTCATGACTGAAATTTTTGTGTTTGGTTATTTCAATCGCTTCCCTGAACAATCTTGGTTTAAAGTGGCGTTCTGTCGAGATGATTTGTTGAAAATCAAGGTACATGGTAATAATCCCGTTTATAGTTATAATGTTAGTGACCATAAAAGTTTAAAACAATATATGTATTTATTTACCTATTAGCAGATCAGTGGCCGCGAGCGACGCTATGAAGTAGTTGCTGGGCTGTCTGATGGTTCTATCCACGAGGAATGCCAGCAGTACCAGCACATTACCGCTGATTGTCAGCAGTATGACGAGCACGAGGCAGGTGGCGAAGATGGATGCCAGCCACAGGGGGAAGGGAGGTAATACCGGTTCCTGTTGACAATGTTACTGTCTTCACTACATAGTATAAAGCAAAGTCGCTTCCCGCTGTCTGGTCCCTATGTCCCTATGTCCCTATGTATGCTTAGATCTTTAAAACTACGCAATGGATTTTGATGCAGTTTTTTTTACTAGATAAAGTGATTCAAGAGGAAGATTTGTATGTATAAAACATGCATAATATAGTAGAGAAACACTGATAATTTTAGAGGTTTTTAATGTAAGGTCGTAAATAAACACATTTTTTTTGCGCTTACCATGCAAACGCTGGCTGAACCCTATTAGATAGATCAAAATAATGTACTACAGTATTGTACACCTTAAAAAGGTCTACAAAAAAGTCCGCAATGGTATATGTCTATCTCTTAGGGATAACCCACAATCCATTTTTTATCCTATACTTTTTACGATAAATAATAGATTATTTACAATTTTTATAACATTCATCCTTATCCAATTAAGTACCTAAAATACATTGTGCATTTAATAAAGACCAATTGGGCTCTTTAACGCATGTAATTTAAATGAATGTTTTCGAAGATATTACAGATTTAAAATGCAGGGACATAGCTAGCGGTTCCGACGCTACCGGGCGGGGCTTGGCGGCTTGGCGGCGCGTACCTATTGTAATTAGGTATTCGAAGAATGGCATTGTGTGTAATACAAGCCTGAAAACAAAAACTATAGTCTACACTACAGCTCTACACCGAAGCCAAGAGAGGGCGGACCACTAGTAATAAATAATTTCTTAAACTTACACCAATAGGAAATATTTTTTATATTTTTATTTCACGGTTTACATTCACTTTTTGTAGTATAAAAATATTCAGCGTCGATAAAACAGAGTAATGTGTCTAAAAACCGGTCAAGTGCCTGTCGTGCCTCGCGCAGTGTAGGGTACTGTAGTTGCTATTTAATCACTAGTGAGACAGATTTTTTACGCTAGTTTACCAGAATCGACACCCAAATCTCGTTTTGAAGCATACCAAATAACACTTTTCTTCGCGGCAGTTTTTTTTTAATTTTCTTGAAAATTAAGTACAACACTTATTTCTATTCTGCCAAACTGTTGCACAGTTGTACTGTATAGCATATGCATTCCACGAAAGTAAAGTTAAAGCTATAGAGTTCTGTCTCTTATATTATACCATAAATAGTATACCACGGTAATATTATTATTACCGTGGTTATACTATGGTTTTCGCAATATCCAATACATTTGACTAAGCATAAAAATTATTTACAGGGCTCTATTAGATTTTAGAGTTAAAGATAATAACAGAAGTGCAATCAATTTATTATCCATTGTTTAATTGTCCTCAATTTTGATATCATATTTTACGACATACATCACGAGCTACGAATAGAAAGTGTAATTATACACCCCAATTTATACAGCTATGTCTAAACTTATCTCCCATAATAACATGAAATTATAATTCTCATGATACCGTTTTATATGGCCACGTTTCGTCTCAAGTGTTGTGTTTTCCATTTTAAGTATGCGTGCTAAGATAGTGTTTAAAGCTGAGGTACCTACGTGACACTAGTAGAATACTGATGGCAAAGAAAGCAAGTCATTTAATTAAGAAGACGAAGTTTGTACTAATATTTAACAATTTCGAAATTCATTATCTCTAATTTTCTAGTTCCTCCATCCATAAGAAGGCACGTTGGTCCGACAAAATCTGCATTCGTTCACGATGTGTATTATTGAATACTAGCGGCCCGCCCTCGCTTCGCTTCGGTGTAGAGCTGAAGTGTAGACTACAGTTTTTGTTCTCAGGCTTGTATTATACACAATGACATTCATCTATGATTCTTCTTATACCTGCATGCAATGTCTCAGCCCGATCGGTTTAAAATTGACAAAGTTTCATATAAACTTTTATTCCCTATTTTATCCCCTTGGGGTTAGAATTGATCAAAATGCTTTCTTAGCGGATGCCTACGCGATAACATCTACCTGCATGGCAAATTTCAGTCCGATCCGTCCAGCGGTTTGGGCTGTGCTTTGATAGATCACTATGTCAGTCAGTCAGTCACCTTTGAGTTTTATATATAAGGGTTCTCCCTATTCCATATTCACTTAGTTTAAAATTCAATCTTTAAAATAATTTATTCAGTTTATCCTGTTGCAATTTGCAATGCTTATGAAAGCTGGAAAGCTACAAAATAGTTCCGCTAATCAACGGCGGGAGACCTTATACTGAGTAGAACCCGTAAGAATTTCAGAAAGGCGTTTTTTTCTCTGAATTAATTTAAACAGCTTTATCAGATTGATTCTAGAAATGTTGTTAATTCTCATAACAAGATTATTTATATAACAGCTTTAAAGGAGATTGCTCAGCTTCCATACATGTTTGGCCTAAAGACCAATAATCATGAAAAATTGTTTCCAAAATTCGAAATTATATATAAATGTTTATAGTACCTAACATGAACCCTGTCAGGGTATCGCAATATACAGTACAGTTAAAGATAAAAATTACAAAAGCATCTAATTAATAAATAGTATATAAGGAACCTAATTTGTACCAAACCACCTAAATCTCATGCATAAATGTCATCTGATTCCATTTGTTTTTATCTTACTCAATTGATCTTATTAACAGTAGAAATATAATAGAAATGGAAATTCATTTATCAAATTAAATTAAATTTGTCAATAATTAAAAATTACTGTAGAAACGAATATTATTGACGGACACTCCTGAGAACTTCTATAAACCATATACACTGAATGATTTTGAGGTTATGTTTGCAAATAGGTACATGGTATTAAAATAATAAAAAACAAATAAGTTATATAGCAAACTAGGGAAATCAAACCAAGTACCAAAATTATGTATTAGATGCAGGTATATAAAGCATGTAGATTAATAGATAGTAGCCCGTTTTTAAAGTTAATGCATAAGAGTAACTTTTAAAATCAGGTATCATCTATGCATTTCCGGTTATAATAAGGTACTCTGTGACAGACACTGTGTGTTATTTGTGAATGAGCCACAGATTAGAGAGAATTTTTAAACTCTCGTTAACTAAAGAAAGCATATTATTTTTGTTATGTTTATACTATAACCATATTTTAGATTTTTAGTGTATCACACCTTATAATGTGTTTATGGAGGTGTATGGCGAAAATGTATGGCAATAGACTTTATGATGTCGCCTACCATCTATAATATTTGTCTTAGGACATTTGCATGTAGTAAAAATGATAATATAGTTGTGGATATTAATACCACAGTGTAATTAAAAAAATGTTTTATTTTATCGATCTTTACAAAATAGATTTGTTTTGATGTTATATAAATAACTTCGAACAGTCTTTGGCTGAATGTTACTACACCCACAGCCATTAAAAATGATTCCTATGGTTTCCAAACCAGTAAAATTAAAAGTCCTTTTGAAAATGAATATATTATACAAAGGTGTCCGTTAAAATCTAATGACTGTAAAATGAAGTATAAATTACGCCAAGAATTACCGTATATGTCAATATTTTTTGTACATTTGGGCCAATTTGAGCAATCTCCTTTTGCGTTAACTAAGGAACATTTATTAACCCACTAATCCGCGCTGAGCCCGCGTGGTCGGTCATGGTCCAAACTCCCTATTCCATCCACAGGGACGGCCTACGCTCCAGCAGTGGGGACATTAATAGGCTGATGATGATTACGATGATGATGAAGTAACATTACGATCTCACAAAGGCCAAGAGATCAATACGTAACGAAGATCTGTGCCACAACAGTGGGTATGTTAATAGGCAGGTGATGAACAACGTAAGAAAACTTGATAATTATATATTTTTTTAAAGCATGTAACTGGTTGATGTTTAAATCTAAAGAAAATATAACTAGAAAAAATTCCACGCGGACCAGGCAGCAGACGGGACTCGAGCCCTTCGCAATCCAGGTGAATGCACTAACCAATTATGCTACCGCGGCCCTTACGGACCGCGTCGAAATTCCTCTAGCCATTCTTAAGCTGCAAGGCAGCGCCATCTCTTCGCATTTTAGGTAACCCATAATGTCAAATGATTACTTTTACAAGTATTATTCGCCCGGATTGCGAAGGGTGCGGGTTCGAGTCCCGTCTGCTGCCTGGTCCGCGTGGAATTTTTTCTAGTTATATTTTCTTTAGATTTAAACTTTTTGTTTCAAAAAGCTAACGCAATATCAAGTTTCTCTACCTTTTATCATTCTAATGTTGAAAAATTCATTTATTTGCCTACTAGAAAATAAAAAAGTCTAAAATCTAGCATAAGAAATATATATATGTAATCGCTACATTGTGCGAGCTATGAAATCATACAACTCTAAATATAGCCACATTGATATATTTAATCTTAATTCTTTGAAATTTAAAAAACTAATTTGCAACTCGTTTTAGGCACAACATTTTTATTTCTTTTTGTTTTGTTTATGTTCATTATGATGCCAAAAATTGTTTCTTTTTTCTCTCGTGCTTATTAGACACTAGGTGAGATAAATAATAGTGGAAATTACCTAGGCAATTGTTTAAACTTAATGTTATATTTTTTATGTAAAAATTAATGCTGTTATTTCCCTAAAAATAAATAAATAAAACGCGGTGCTACTTCATCAAACTCTTCACCGTTTCCAACCGCCTGGAAACAAGTCTAATGGTAGCCATACACACTACGAGAAATTGTTACGATTAGACTGTACCGTCCGAACGGTACCGATAAATCGTAGCGTGTATGTTATAAAACTGCACAGTTTCCTATACGTACGCCACGTACGATACCGTTCCGTTCGAACTGTACAGTCCACAGAACACAGAAAGAGGTTAGAAGGGTCTTCAGAGACATTTTGTACGGGAACCGATGTCGCTGGCTCGCCCGCACTACACTTACACCTAATAGATATTAGCCAATCAAACGCCGTGACATCAAACAATCGAACCAATCGGCGCTCACACCCGAGCGCAACAAAGCAATCGTTACCAAGTTTTGGTCAAGTTAT